TTTGGTATTTATGCTGTGTTATTAATTTTTGCTGGGAGGAGTATAAGTGTAGGCTAATGCGGAAATGGTAATTGTGCACTATTTACATTATTCGGACTATTGTCCTTATCTTTATTGCCATATTTATTACAACATTTCAGCTGTTGTATTTATAATATTTTATATATTTTGATGGTTGGAATGTCGAATTGTAAATAGATTTTTCCAAAATATGCACTGTTGTAGACTGTTCTAGTTCCACGTGCCATGTTTTCATGAATGTCAGTTGTTAAAACATCTCCTAAAATTCCCCCTCCAAGTTCTCCACTGCCTTAACCGGTAAAAGAACTCACACTCTTTGGGTCCTGTCACTGGATCTAACCAAATTTTATTTACTGTGCCTGTGATAAAGGACACAGGGCACAATTAAATATAGCAATGGAACTAGAAATATATCTACCCCAGTGAGAAAAATAAAGTTGTTAATTCATTTTCCAACCACCTGAAGAAGGCAGAGAATAAACGGCAAAAATTTTGTGATAAATATGGCAACAAAGATGAGGACGATAATCTGAATAATGTAAATAGTGTACATAATACCTCATCTTAGAAATATAGACAGATACTGAAAGGCCGAAACGTTGTAATAAATATGGCGAGAAAGATGAGGACAATAGTTTGAATAATGTAAATAGTGTACATAATACCTCATCTTAGAAATATAGACAGATACTGAAAGGCCGAAACGTTGTAATAAATATGGCGAGAAAGATGAGGACAATAGTTTGAATAATGTAAATAGTGTACATAATACCTCATCTTAGAAATATAGACAGATACTGAAAGGCCAAACGTTGTAATAAATATGGACAAACAAAGATGAGGACAATAGTCCGAATAATGTAAATAGTGTACATAATACCTCATCTTAGAAATATAGACAGATACTGAAAGGCCAAACGTTGTAATTTGGTATGGCAACAAAGATGTGGACAATAGTTCAAATAATGTAAAATAGTGTACATAATACCTCATCTCAGAAATATAGACAGATACTGAAAGGCCAAAAATTGTAATAAATATGGCGAAAAAGATGAGGACAATAGTCCAATAATGTAAATAGTGTACATAATACCTCATCTTAGAAATATAGACAGATACTGAAAGGCCGAAACGTTGTAATAAATATGGCGAGAAAGATGAGGACAATAGTTCGAATAATGTAAATAGTGTACATAATACCTCATCTTAGAAATATAGACAGATACTGAAAGGCCGAAACGTTGTAATAAATATGGCAACAAAGATGTGGACAATAGTTCGAATAATGTAAATAGTGTACATAATACCTCATCTTAGAAATATAGACAGATACTGAAAGGCCGAAACGTAATAAATATGGCGAGAAAGATGAGGACAATAGTTTGAATAATGTAAATAGTGAACATAATACCTCATCTTAGAAATATAGACAGATACTGAAAGGTCGAAACGTAATAAATATGGCGAGAAAGATGAGGACAATAGTTCGAATAATGTAAATAGTGTACATAATACCTCATCTTAGAAATATAGACAGATACTGAAAGGTCGAAACGTTGTAATGAATATGGAATTTTGATGAGGACAATAGTTCGAATAATGTAAATAGTGTTTATAAGACCTCATCTTAGAAATATAGACAGATACTGAAAGGGGGTCAAACGTTGTAATAAATATGGCAACAAAGATGAGGACAATAGTTTTAATGTAAATAGTGTACATAATACCTCATCTTAGAAATATAGACAGATACTGAAAGGCCGAAAATTGTAATAAATATGGCGAAAAGATGAGGACAATAGTTCGAATAATGTAAATCATGTACATAAGTATTTAATTCATCTTAGAAATATAGACAGATACTTCTAAAGGCCAAACGTTGTAATAAATATGGCAACAAAGATGTGGACAATAGTTCAAATAATGTAAATAGTGTACATAATACCTCATCTCAGAAATATAGACAGATACTGAAAGGCCGAAACGTTGTAATAAATATGGCAACAAAGATGTGGACAATAGTTCAAAAAATGTAAATAGTGTACATAATACCTCATCTCAGAAATATAGACAGATCCTGAATGGTAATTGTGGTGGTGAAATAGTGGGAATGAAATAATGGTTGCAATGTTAAGATAAGTGGTGATAAATGGTAAGAAAGTTATGTTAATTACAGTATTAAATAAATTAATAGTAAGACCGAAATAATAATTTTTTACCCGCAATAAAAACTTTTTCAGCATTAAATAATCCATTGAGGTGTTGATATGCCATAAAACAAACTAAACCAAATCAGCCCTTTTTTTTCTTTTCCCCTTTTCCAGCCCTTTCTTCATATTTTTTTTTTTTTTTTTTCTTTTTTTTTTAACAGAATGAAACTGATAATTTTTTTTTTTTTCAGGCTTGTAAAGATGGCTTCTGTACAGATTTATCAAACAACCAAAACCACGGCCAGCTTCATGGTTTCAAGTGTGTCACGTGGGACATAAAGGTAATTTAACAAAACCCGGTATATTCTTTCTAAATGGAGGAACAAATTATATATAATTGTATGAGGGGCTACCCAACGCTTGAGAATTGCTTGATTAATTTGCAAATCTCATATTGTTGTGTTTTACATGTCTTGCAAGAAATTTCAATTTCTGTAAATTCATTCCTTCTCTGTGGAAACTATTTTGCATATTAAATTCCATGAATTTTAGTCGTCCTGGGTAAGACGATAAACTACGTCCATGTCCTGGGTAAGATGATAAACTACATCCGCGTCCTGGGTAAGACGATAAACTATGTCCAACAGCATGGCATCTAATCAGGAGGTTTTGAGGACTGTGGAACCACCTCTTAATTGCTGGTGTTCCCAGGTCCAGCCTGACCTAGGGTGGTAGCACCTGTCAGGATCCAAGCTTTGGGTCAATAGTTAACACTCAAACTTGTGTAAAAATAGGTTTTAATACCAGAAATACTTTGTAATAAAAAAATTATTACCAGCAATAATTTTTGAAGGAAAAATTATTATCAGCAATAATTAAAATTTAAAGTGAAACATATACTGTTAGAGTTTGTACATTTTGATCTAGTGCAAACAAAATATTACCAAGTGAGTAATTTAAAAAAAAAAATTACGAAAATAAAACCATCCAAGATTGTAAATTTCCTAAAAGTTGCTTTGTACTAAAAAATATGAGTAAATGAAAAATGGTTTAAATATGTTTGTATACATGCACACCTTTTTTACCAAACTATTACTATGAATCTATTTTAAAAATTTTGTTGGCATTAAATGACCCACTGAGGTTTTGATATGCCATGAAACAAAACAACCAACCAACCAAATCCATGAATTTTGAGTAGCACTCGTAGTTTCTGAGCAAAATGGTTAAGATTTTATTTCATAGTTTGGGGAAATGATTCAAGCAGAAGATTTCATGATACCCAATCAAAATTGAAGGCAAATAACACTTAAAATTTCTTATACATCTGTACTATTTTAATACCTATATTGAGGTAAATATATCATATTGGAGGCATGGTGGAGTAATGGATAAAACCTATATGGATTGAGGAATTGGGGGAGCCGAACTAATTCCAGTCAAATCCATTACATTCACTTACGTGCTAATACCCTTGGGAAAGTTATGAATCCTCTTCTTCTCCCTCCAGCTATGGGTAAATAGCAGGACAGACTGGGTTCTATAGCCTTGATGGCAACTGGTCTAGGAGAAAGACAACTCTGAATTCAAACCGGAGGGAGCCCTAAGGCAGATGGATTGGCACTTTGTGCTACCTTCCGGTAACTCGACAGAAAATAATATTGGTACCAAACTGTATTGGTTTATCCTCTCTTTTGGATTCTGCTAGCAAGGTAGATAGGGGGAACAAGATGTCTGGGCAGCCCTACTTCTCAATATATCCCGCCCAGTGTTGTAGCGCACCACACTACTCCATCATCTCTCGAGATGGACGGATGCCAACAACAATGATATCATCATGTTGGATAAGTCACCAAGTAATGATTGAACTATGGAAGAAAGGAACATTCTCCTATTAGTATTTCTCCCATTATGGGCATTATTATATCTATGATATAATAACAGATTATTTCACAGATAGAATGGAATAGCTGGAAGAAAAGACAAACATGCTTTGTTCTCAGAAAGAGTTTTATACCACTAAGTCATACTGTTATACCGGAATGTACCTATTTCTATTGTAAATAGACTCTCCCACAGATAAGTAGTAGCAGTCGCCAGTGAAGCTCAGTGGGTTGTGTGAGTCAGTCGATGTCGGACATTAAAGTATGAGCCCCACAACTAGATTGCTGCATCATTAACTAATTTAGGACTGTCTTAGTGAAATACAAGCCTCCACTGTGAAAACTACTCTACAGCACATACACAAAATTATATCTACATATTTACATTTGTTCCATGCAGAGAAGATATAACACATATCTGCAGAACAAGCACTATGAAAAGATAACAAAATGATAGTCTTACTTTGTAATAATTTCCAACAGGAACTGGAGCTGCCATTAAAATGAGGATTCTATATGTCACTTCTTCATGTTCAGTGTAATGTTACTGATTGCAATCTTCAACAATTCTATGGTATTACAGAACTGGTAATTGGTCTCTCTCTCTTGATGACTCTTCCTGACATAGAGTTGTCTCATCATTATCACTATCAGTTCCTTTGTGTTTCTGGAGAAGCCATATTTAGGATTCCAAATTTGAGCAGATTTAGCCCCCATCCGGGTGATGAAAAAGCCTAGACTTTGCTAAAAAAATAACTGCTTGGTTTGACTCCTGGAAACTGACTGGGAGAACTGACCACTTATGTCACTATGGCTTTCACATGACCTACATGACATCATCTCAACCAAAGGGAGATAATCACCTTTTGTATCCCTACACCTCTTTTTAAGTTTAATTAATAAATTAGAAACAATAAGTAATTATAAAAAAACAATTATATGAAAACCTACCACTAAAATGAGGATTCTATATGTCAGTTCTCCTTCATATTCAGTACCACATTACTGATTGCAATCTTCGACAATTCTATGGTATTATGGAACTGGTAATTGGTCTCTCTCTTCATGACTCTCTCTGACATACTCGTCTCATCATCATCACCATCAGCTCCTTGTGTGCTTCAATCATTTGAAGTACCTGAGGATAGAAGAAACATGATTCTTTCAATGGTCTTTTAGATAGTTTGATGGCGCCCATCTCCTCTCCAAGCTGTTGACCGACAGCCAGAGATCATAGAATATGGTGTGGGTTACCCTCACTCTGTACACTAGACCTTTAGGTTTTTGAATTCAGAGTTGTTCTTCTAGAGTGGTTGCCAGTCAAGGCTACACAACCCAGTTTGTCCTGTTATTTATACCCATAGCTGATGGGGGAAGGTACTAGAAGAGACAGATTCATACCTTTACTAATCGTATTAATACCTAAGTGAATGTAAGGAAATTGATTGGAACTCCAACCTGGTCTCTGATTCCTCCATTATCCATTACTCCACTGTGCCTACACTGGAGAGAAAAGCTAGATCTTGAGGCTTGATGGGGATGACATGACAATGGTATTAAGTGCATTAACACAGGAAATGAAAAGATATGTTACTGCCAAACTCAGTGACTGACTTTTTGAATGTGATCAGGATCCTTATGCTCAAGGAATAAACTTAATACCTCTTGTAAAGATATTTCATCTGTGGGCAAGAGAAAGAAATATTTATAGTGATCAGGTCTAAGACTACTTCAACATTAACCTACAGCAAGGTTATGAGAAACACTGACAAATAGCTCAAGGTGACAAAGTCCATTGTTAGACGTGGGGTCTAGAAGGGCATCAAAGATATGTCCTGCATGATGAAGAGAAGGAAGATCATGTATGCTAAGACCCAAGTCAACTGTGTAATACAATTGAAATATTGGATGAACAAAGTGAAACACCCCAACGTCCTGGGTAAGACAATAAACTACATCTGCATCCTGGGTAAGACGATAAATTATGTCCAACAGCAAGGCCCCTGATCAGGAGGTTTTAAGGAGCCACCTCTTAATTGCTGGTGTTCCCAGGTCCATCCTGAGCCGGGGTGGTAGCACCTGCTAGGGTCCGAGCAATGGGTAAATAGTTAACCCCCAAACTGAGGTCAAAACACTATGAAAATGTGAAAATAGGTTTTAATACCAGAAATACTTTGTAAAAAATAATTACCAGCAATAAACATTTGAAGAAAAATTATTACCATCAATATACTATGACCAACAATACACTTTTGAAAAAAAAAAAAAATTACCAGCAATAAAAATCTTGTTGACATTAAATAACCCATTGAGGTTGATATACCGTAAAACAAACCAAACCAAGAAACACCCCAAAGAGCTTGGCATGCTCTGCTTGAACTTTGATAAGAATAAATTTTACCATGTGAAGATGGAGAATAACAGAGATACCTAAGGCAATGCACGCAAAAATCATGTCCGTAGTGATCCTAGTAATTTTGTGCAAAGTGAGCTATGTCGTGCTGCTACTACAGGGAGTTGGAATCAATGCCATCAACTACACAGAGCCACAATATCAACCCCTGGATTGATGGGTTGGCTGTAGATATCCCAGTAGAACTCTGTCTATCTGTTTATGAAGGGCTAGTTTCTATTGGGATCTGTGACTATGTTATAGTGCCAGACGACTGTTAGTCGGATACTAAAATATCGGTGACCACAACTAGATTTCTCTGCGTCATACCTATTATATCAAGTTCCTAATGTTTTGTACGTCGAACCTATTTTAGGACCGACTTAGTACAAATACAAGCCTCCACTGTGAAATCCCTCCATAACACACTAAGAAAAGGTTAAGAACCATTGATATAACATTATCTCCCAACTTGCATTTCTGTGTTTGTTCTTTTTGCTGTACTAAGTGAATATTAGTGAATGTTTAGTTAATTGTTATTTTTGGTCTTTAGGATTTGCTGAGTTGTGTTGGAGGGATTCCGATACTGTTTCCATTGCTGGAATTGGTAGACAAATGCCAACCAATTCTCAATGAAAGTGCGGACATAACACCTCTGTGTGAGCGTAAGCCAATGATTTCCAATGACACAACAGAACTTGAAGAAGACTGGATTGTAGTTCAGAGTGCTTCGTCTGCAGGTAAGTTAAATTTTCCGAATAGAAATTGTTTACTCAAACTGAACTACAAATATTTATTTACACTAAATGAAAATTATAATTTGTTTTTAATCAACAACACTCTGGTTTATTCTTTTACTCAATATTGTAGTATAGTGAAGAAAATGGCAACTTACCTCATTAAATCAACCGACAGCACGTCGTGTGTATCCTATGACGGAAAATGTGGTGAAAAAAAAAAATGACTTACCAAAAAAAGGGCATGTATTCCACATGACATGCTTAAGATGGAATATTTAGATTGAAAGCAAGTCCGTCACAGGAGTCTCTATAAAAGTATTTTGATATGCAAAAATTAGGCATCCTAGCCCAGTTGTTGACGAATGAAAAAATGCTTGGCCGATAAAAGCTGTGGTGTTCTCAAATCGGGGAAGCAAAATTTGGGTATTTTGGCTACTGCGTTTGTCAGAGAGTGAGTTATTTTTCTGACTGGTTGTGGGCATTGTGATTTGTGAGATAGTACCTGCGAATTGAGTTTTCGGCATTTCTTTCTGCCCCCGATGTTTGAGTCTGAACTTAGTGATTTATTCTCTGCGTTGTGGAAGAAATCTGTGACAAATATTTCCTTTGCAATCCCAGATCACTTACACGTAGCCTCTCACTTATAATAACCCAGCCATTGATTTCTGTCAAGATTGTTTTAGCTGTTGCCATAGCAGGGCGTGACAACACAACTGTTAAATTCAAACAGACTATCATTCTGCAATGTGATTCACCAGTGGTGGCAGGACAAACTTTTTGTTTCATAATCTACAGAATAGGTCCTACCAGTATTTATTATTGGTGACAACAATCATAGAAAAATTAGATATGTAGATGGCAAAGTGTTGATAGAAATATAGAAAATAAACTACATGAAATTTTACAGAAGGTAGTGAAAGAAAGTGAGAAGAAAGGACTAACTGTAATAATCTGATGAGCTCTTTGCTATGTACTTAGACTTTTTGAATTTAAGCACAATACTAGACTGGCATCAAGATCTCACCAATTTACACTTGATCTGGCTAAATGTAGTCATAAATTCTATGTTAACAGTTTCTTTTCTCGCACTTCTCACTTGTGGAATTCCGTTCTGGCTCCATGCTTTCCTACCAACTTCTAAACTTTAAATATAATGTCAATTGCTATCTACTGTCCTCCTGATTACTCTTTTCTCTTCCCATTCATTAGTAATGTTTCTGTTCCTCATTCTTCCACACCCAGTAACCCCTTGCATCTTAATGGCTTTATTGCCTTCCTTAGAGTAGCAGTGGTAGAGATTGCTGTGAATCAAAGATAGTTTGACAAGTCCTTCATGTGAATTTGATTTTGATGGATAACTCTGCAATGGAGAAGCCCACACACATGGCCAGAAGCACCTCCCTCACAGCCCAAAGGAGATTGTGATACATGAGATCTGGCAAACCTAGTTGCCTGTGGCTGTTGGATGCTTGGTCTGTCAAGATCCATCTTGGTTACACCAACCCAACTGGCACTGCCCTCTTCCATCAGTTTAGTCATTGAGGTGTAGGTATTTGCCTATTCTGCCATTGGGGTCCTCAGTGGTTGGTCGCGTTCAGTCTGGACCCTCCTCTTTGACCTTATCACCATGGGTGGCCCTACAGGAGTTAGAACTCCTGGCGGTTCTTTTATATATATATATATATATATATATATATATATATATATAAAATAGACAATCAGAAAATAGTACTTAGCTCTTTTTGCTGCATTTCTTCATCCAACTTACACAAAATTCAAAAAAATTTTAAAAGATGTTCTTGAATTTTGTGTAACTACACAACATTTAGCTTTTGTTTATCATCACTTGCTTTGATAAAGTTGGATGATGAAACATGTTGGCAAGAACTAAATACTATTTTATAATTGTCCATTTTATTCAATTTATTCTGAGAACTTTCACACACACACACACACACACACACACACATATATATGAGGTATGAAACTGACAGTCACCATCCAGTGTTGATTCTTATGACCACACTCTTTATAACTCTATCTGTGATGTTGGACACCCCTCCCCTATAAAAACAGCAAAGTTTAAACACATATTGCTTTATATTTTTTAATTTTAAGATAATTTATTAAATTTCTTTTTAATTTATTAATTTTTCAAATTTTTACTTTTTGACATTAATATTTTTTAGACAATACTTATATTTTTACTTTATTTTATTTATTTACTGATTTTTATCACTGTCCTTTTGTTTTTAATCATTTCACCCCATGCAAGGCATTAAAGCCACTAAGACACAAGGGTTTACTGTGTGTGAAAGAATAATAAAAAAGAGACACATTATTAGAGAGTGAAAACAATTAAAAAAGAGGAAGCAAGAAGTCAGTAGATAACGAAACTGCATTTAAATTTTTGAAGATCAAACTTTATTGGAAAGCATGGAGCCAGAAGAAAGTCCCACAAGCGAGCAAAGAATGAATCTGGTATGCAGAATGTCTTGGAATTTTCTCTTTCTTTTATATGATCCAATCCGAGTGCCATTTAACCCATTATTGTTTGACGTACTTAATAATACGTTTCCAATTTCTTTGATGCCATTTTTGTGTTCATTTGCAGAATCCAAATTAGAACAGAATCAAGTGGCAGCATTTTTGACGTTGCTGAGGAACATGCTACAGACCAAAGTTACAAACCAAGATTGCTTTATTCGAACACATAGTGCTGCTACAATTGGCGCTTTACTACAGAAGGTATGTATCTACAGACTCACTCTCTTCAGCACGGTTTCTATTCAAGCATCGCATTTCAGCAGTTAATGGTTTTTTTTTCTCTGTGTTATCTAAATAAGCCATAACATTGAGATAATTTTTTATCTAAAGATTTTTGTTTAATCATTTCACCCCAAGCAAGACAATAGAGCCATTAAGACACAAAAGATTACTGAATGTGAGAGAATATGTGAGAAAAAAAAAAAAAAAAAAAAAAAAAAAACACTATTAAGGAGAGAGAACAATAAAAGAAAACAGTAGATAATGATTGACATTACATTTAAATTTTTGAAGATAAAACTTCACTGGGAAGCAAGAAGTTAGAAGAGAGTTCCACAAGCGAGAAGTTTGAAAGTTGAAACTGTTAGCATAAAATTTATGGTTGCATCTAGCCAATTCAACTGTAAAATGATGAGACCTAGCTGCCAATCTAGTACTGCACTTAAATTCATAAAGTCTAGGTACCATAAAGGAAAGTTCATCAGAAAAATTACCATGAAACATATTTATAGAAAAAGTACAGGGAATGTACATTATGGCAGTGGGAAAGTGACTGGAGGCAAGATGCCAGATCAGGACCAATAACATTGCAGATTCTTTTTTGGATTTTATCAAGACTTTCTAAATATATAACACGAGCATCAGTCCAGATGTGACAACAATATTCAAAGCAAGGATAAACAGTAGACTCAGAAATTTGTAAGACAGAATCTGGCAAGAAAAATTGTCTAGAATGATGGTTATCCAACTTTCCTAGCAGCTGATCAAGCAATTGATTCAATATACTCTTTCCACTTTATATTAGATGAAACATTATTCCGTGAAGATGTGATGAGTTGCTCTCTTGAAGGTTAGCATGAGCCATGCTGATGAAAGGTAGAAAGTGTTCTCAGACAATTAAAAGGGAGATGTTTTGTGTAAGCTTCTGGCAAGAAAAATTGTCTAGAACGATGGTTATCCAACTTTCCTAGCAGCTGATCAAGCAATTGATTCAATATACTCTTTCCACTTTATATTAGATGAAACATTATTCCGTGAAGATGTGATGAGTTGCTCTCTTGAAGGTTAGCATGAGCCATGCTGATGAAAGGTTTTCTTTCTCAGACAATTAAAAATTCGAGATGTTTTGTGTAAGCTTCTGGCAAAAAAAATTGTCCTAGAACGATGGTTATCCAACTTTCCTAGCAGCTGATCAAGCAATTGATTCAATATACTCTTTCCACTTTATATTAGATGAAACATTATTCCGTGAAGATGTGATGAGTTGCTCTCTTGAAGGTGAGCATGAGCCATGCTGATGAAAGGTAGAAAGTGTTCTCAGACAATTAAAAGGGAGATGTTTTGTGTAAGCTTCTGGCAAGAAAAATTGTCTAGAACGATGGTTATCCAACTTTCCTAGCAGCTGATCAAGCAATTGATTCAATATACTCTTTCCACTTTATATTAGATGAAACATTATTCCGTGAAGATGTGATGAGTTGCTCTCTTGAAGGTTAGCATGAGCCATGCTGATGAAAGGTAGAAAGTGTTCTCAGACAATTAAAAGGGAGATGTTTTGTGTAAGCTTCCAGCAAGAAAAATTGTGTAGCATGACACAGAGAACTGACTTTTCTAGCAGCAGATCTAGCAACTTAAGTAATATCTATATGAATAAATTCAAAATTTGAGGTCACTCCCACAAATTCTGAGGTTAAAAGGTCCCAACTCTATAATAATTTAAAAAAACAAAAAAAAAAGTTCAATATCAGTCTTGTATATTATCGACTTTCAGGCGATATCACTTTTCAGGTTTAACTAATTTGCATATTGATTTTAAAAAAGTATATTTAATTAATTAACTATCCTTCATTACAGTTCTTTTATTTGAGGATTGTTTTGATTTACATATCAAAAATAGTTCTGTTTAAGAATATTTTCTTACGTAATGCAGAAAAGTGTTCAAAATATGCATTTTACTTGACCTTCAACAAATTAGCATCTATAATTTGTAAAACTTTCCCTAACTATAACAAGCCTGCCCCCACATCCAACTAATTTATTTCTCTGTGTCTTTACAGTCATATTCTTTGAACAAATATATTGAATGTCCACAATGTTGTTCATGATGTCGGTCGTCTTTGAGTATAGAATCCAGAGGTTAGCAGTGAATATTTCGAAGACAGTAGGGAAGCGTAGTTCAGGTTAGCAGTGGATATCTGGTAAAGTAGCAGAGTGTAGTTCAGTAATTCTTCCTTCTGTTCCTCTTCGCCTGACAAGCTGGCACTGGACATTCGGATAGAGTAAACAAAATGGCCGCCTTTATACATGACGGATTGAATATTCTATGTCTTCTGATTGGTTAACCTTCTATTGGTGGACTATAAAGTGAGTCAAGTCATTTGGGCTAGCTCACTAGTACACATATACACAAAAAAACTGCAACACACAACCCCTTCAACATTTCATAAATAGTGAACATTAACCCCATAGAAAAATAACCAGATAGTGAGCCGGTGAAGTCCACTAGTTTGTCATAAGTTTTAAATTGGTATCCAAGTAGCAGTAGCAGACATAAGTCTTGATTGGTCAGAATTTTTTTGATGAAGCAGTGTCATAAACATTTTTCCATTTTATTTATTGTCCAAATAGTAGAGGATATAAATCTAAAGTTATCCAGACTTTTTAAAGGAAACATTATGATTATTTTTATTAATAATTTTTGAGCTTTGCTTTTATTTTTCATGTCTAAATAGTAGTTATCATACCAAAAATGAGAAGATGGAAATAGCAATGAAGATGTACCAAAAGTCACCTTCCTACCTGCTCCCCAGACCATGTTTGGTGAAACCATGAATAAATAACCAACATTTTTGTTTTATTTTCTCACCAAGATATTATGTATTTGTGTTTCTCTGTGAATGCAAAAGTGGGTTTGTAGTTTTGGTTCAATTTTGTTGTACTGTAATCAAAAATAATAATTTCAGGTAATTTGTCCAGTCCATAAAAAAAGCAATTTTTTGTTTTTTTTGCATTTTTCAATTAAAAAAATCATTAGATGATTGTATACATCTTGTTTGATAATGATTTCTAATAAAATTTAAAATTGCTTATCAATAATTTTCATTTATTTTTTGACAAAATCCCTAGTTTATCTTTCATCTTATTTTTTTTCAAAAGGCCTCACTTTAACTTGTCATTTTTAATCTATCAGATTAAGTAATCATTTTTATTAATTTCAATTCAAAAGTTTATCTTTCATCTTATTTTTTTGTTTTTTTAACACAACAAATAATCAGGTAAAACAAAATAATCTATCAATTTCTAATCATTTTAAAAATTTCAGGCTAGTTTATCTTTCATCTTATTTTTGTTGTTTTTTTTTTTCTACCCTTCATTTTACATTCTATTGTGTTAATTAGTCATTAAAATAATTTCTGAAACATAATAAAATCCCCATTTATCAGTAGGTAAGTTTTGAGTTCTTTTGTCTGTTTGATCTCATAATGATATTTTTTTTTTTTTATTTCCTTCCCTTCTGTTCACCTAAAAAAAAACTCAAATAAAAAAAATACATTAGATGTCTTCCATGTTCATGTTTTAAACTTGGTGTGGACTGCTTTTAGACTGCAGGTTCAAATTTTCCATTGTCCAACTTTACCAGTTTTAAAAATTTCAAAAATAAAGTATGGAGCCTAATTAAATTTCCCGATTAGGATAGGTTATGGATTTTGGAAATTTTATTTATTTATTTATACTCGTTACTTTTCCTTTTTTTGTTATATCAATGAAAAATTTGAAAAACAATTAAATTTAAATTTATTTATCTTATCATTCTATATATCGATAAAAAATTCTTTAAAAAAAATTATACAAGATCAAAATTTAATTTATTTTATTCGTTATTTTTTTTTTTGTAGATGTTTTCATTACTTGCAAATGTTTAAAAGTGAAATATATTTTATTAATTTTTGCAATAAAAATTTGGTATGATTAAATTTTTTCTGTGTTTTGTCATTTTAAAATTTTTAAAATTTTTTTGCCAAATGGTGTTTCGAATTTTTTATATTTGCATATGGTATATATAAAATATTTTATAATAATGGTCTTTTGATTTTAAATGTTTTGCCATATGGTCTTTGTAAATGAAATATTTTTATAAATTTTCTTTATAATATAAATGTTTTTGCCAATGGTCTTTATGAAAGTGAAAAAATGTTTTTTAAAAATCTTCCTGTTTTAAAATGTTTTTTAATGGTCTTTATATTATATAATTATTTAAATATATATATATATATATATTTATAATGGTGTTAATAATAGTAAATGTTTTTGCAAATGGTCTTTGCGATGAAAATGTTTTAAAAACAAAATGGTTTTTATAATGAAAATTTTTGCAAATGGTCTATTTTATTTTAATTTTTTTTTTAAATTTTATATATATGAAAATATTTTAAAATGGTGTTATATATATAAAATATTTTATAAATATCTTTTTTGAAAATGTTTTAAAATGGTTTTTTGATAAAAAAATTTTGCTAATGGTATTTGATGAAAAATCTTTAATAAATGGGTTTTTGCATGATGAAAATGTTTTGCTTCAAATTTTTTTTGAAAAATTTTTTGAAAATGGTCTTTTATGAAAATGTTTTTGAAATATTTCTCATGGCCTTTAAATATGTCCAATGTTTTTTAAAATATTTTCAAAATCCAAAAAAAATTTTTTTCTTGGTCTTTTCCAAAAAAATGTTTTGCAAATGGTCTTTTTTTTGAAAAAATTTTAAAATGGTCTGTAATGATTTAATGTTTTCGGGTTATCATTGAATGAAAATTTTTGCAAAACGTCAAACTTTTTGTTTTGAACAAATGGTCTTTTTTGATCTCATAATTTTGCCAAAAAAAAAATTTCATTGAAAATTCTTTTTTTTTTTTTTTTTTTACTTTTTTTTTTTTTTTTGCCAATGGTGGTTGATACTATCTGTTTCCAATTATTATAATATTATAAAATGCAAAATGGTCTTTTTTTTATAAATTAAAATATGTTTTTTATGTTCTTTTTCATTGAAATGTGT